CATTGACTTATAATGGTGAGGTCACGAAAATGACCTGACCTCATATGACCTTTAGCAAAAATCCGAGATATACAAGTTGTGGGACTCATAATGGATACTAGATCCTGCAAGTTTCATTTCCCTGTGACATCTCCTCTGGCAGTGAGGGCGTTGCGAAGTTGCGACATCTGAAGACCGTGCAGAGGTTCACTTATGACGTCATAGGTCAGTGACCTGACCTGACCCAAAAATGCAGTTGGTGTCAAAAGATCCGGCTTGGATCAAAGGTCAGGTATGCCAAGTTTCAGCTCTCTATCGCCAGCGTGTTCGGAGCTATCGCGAAAAAACCCTATGGGGGGGGGGCGGCACCCGCCCCCCCCCCTCGGCCGGCGAGGGTTAAAGCCACAAAAAGACAATAAAACGCGTTCTACTCGAAATACGCCAAAACGCGATTCCGGCCAAACATGGTCTCGGAAAACAGGTCACAAGTCAAAGGTCTTTTGAGTCAGGGTCATGCAAATTATAGGGTAGGCGTAATATTGAATAACTCGAGGGTGCTGAAAGTTTTGCCGCAATCAGCCGCTTTTTGCGATATTTATTTGCGAAAAACTGAGGGTAGGAGGTCTCTTCGACACCCTCCTACAAATGCGAAGGTTAAGGTCAGGCCGTTGACCAATGGCGTCAAAAGTGAACCTCTGTAAGGCCCCAAAATGTCGCGACGTCGCAGCACCCTTCGTGCCAGGGGACTTTTCAACGGGGAATGAAGCTTATATGATCTAGTACTATCTCCCAGAGGCCTCACAACTTGAATGTAGCTATCTCGTATTTTTCTTAAGAGTCACCTGAAGTCAGGTCGGTCACGCAACCTCACGATTTAATCAATTGGGAAATATGAAAGCTGTTATTTTGGCGCCGGGAGCCATCTAAAGCTGTCTCAAGCGTATGAATTCGCGATTTTATACAGTTTTTGCAAGCCCCAGCATTCACTTTTCCATTCTTAAAGTTAGGCGACTTCATTTATGACGTCACTAAGGTCACAGGAGTTTTCACCAAAAAGTCCCGATCAAATTGAGCTAGCGAGTCGGGAAGCCACCAGTGGACTTGTAAGGACCTACCGCATCGAAGAAGCGATATGACCTCCTTGAGTCAGCCTCGTGGCCTGAGTGGCTCTGCCCTGACATGACCTGAGGTAAACACCTTAAATTGACCTCAACAAAAACAAAGCGTAAACTATTCGACGCGTTTGAGCATGCAAAACTCTTGGCTCTGTAACCACTTAAGGTGAAGCTGTTTACCAAAAACCGATCCCGCGACTTGGAGCACTTATACTGACCTCAGAGTTTATCGGTGGACCTGAGACATTCAACTCGGGTACCGGTTGCTGCATCTCATACGACGCACGCGCTCAGTTTTATCCGCAAGGCGCTAGCTCAATTAGGGGCAAAAAGACGGAGAGGGGTCGTAATCGCCCCCCCCCCCTCGGCCGGGGTATATGCAGAAAACTCAAAATTCCGTTGAAGGTTAAGCACTGAAGTGATATATTATGATGCGAGAAGGTATAGGTAAAAACAAGTATGCACACGAGCGGATGTGAATTAAACTGTGTTTGAGGTATGCCTTTTTTATTATACATTCGATTTGCTTTAGTTATTGCTAAGAACAGATACAACCAAGAAGAGCGCCCCTGAAGAAAAGGTGGCGCACCGGACGGGTGCAATTTTAAGGTCCAAGGTCAGTCGGGGACCTCTAAGTTCGGATCAAGCGCTGCATGTTAGGGTTAAAACTTAACCCTCGCATGTGTGCGGCGTTTGCCAGCTTCTAATGTGTAGGGGGGGGGGGGGTCGGTTGGACCCCCCCCCCCCTTGCCGTTTGGCCCCTGATCGAGCTAGAGCTTCGCGGAAAAAACGAGCGTGTTGCCCGTGACGAGAGGAAGCCGATGATACCCAATTTTAAGGTCCTAGGTCATTGGTTGACCTTCCAGGTCAGGTCAATGACCCAAAGTCGGGAAAATCGGGACCTGTTAGAAAGTCGTAAAGTGTGGCTGCTAAGGGGTTTTTCGGGCTGCTGATCACGAATATCGTGTTAGTTTTGATCACAGATGATGTCTTGAAGCATTTAGACCAGGTCGGGTCAGGTCAGGTCAGGTCAACCAGTAGGCGTCGTGACGGGTATTCGTAGTACGTGTCAACCACCTCTGACAGCTTCGTAACATGTTACGAAGTCACCAAAACTACTTCGTAAATGTTCAAATGGTTGCTAAATTCGAATTCAGCTCCAAAAACTAGCCTAGAAACATGTAAAACTCGAAAAAGTGACCCGAGGTCACCCGAGGTCACCAAAGGTCAATGACCTGACCTGACCTTCAGGTGACGTTGACACACACGGGAGTAACATCAAATCACATGTTTGAACGTTTGAAACCACGAAAAGCTTGCAAACACGCGGCTAGTGCGAGCCGACATACGCGAAATCGCGATTCCGGCCAAACATGGTCTCGGAAAAGAGGTCACAGGTCAAAGGTCATTTGGGTCAGGGTCATGAAATTTTCAGGGTATGTGTCAAATTGATCAATGCGAGGGTACTGAAAGTTTCGTCGCGATCGGCCGCTTTTTACGCGAGTTATTCGCGAAAAACCATGGGGGGGTCCATCCGACCCCCCCCCCCCTACACATGCGAGGGTAAATAAAAAAAAAATGGGAGCAAACAAGCATCCCGATTTTGACAGCATCGTCATGCTTTGTCACGGCACTTATCCACTCCCACGGCCGAAATATTAGTTCCTTTTTGTATGAGTTCTGGCATAATCCCGCACATTATGCTGCATGTTGTTTGCCATGAAAAAAGCATGTTCAGCTACGTTCTACGCAGAACGCACTAACCTAACCACCATCCCATCGTGCACCACTAGCCACCATCCCGTTCTGTGATCCGTTCCACCCCACACGAATCATCCGAGATACTAGTCAGTCGGGCTAGCGCTATCCTCCCCTCCCTTCATGACTGCACAGCGCTAAAACCCAGAGCCGAGACTTCCCGAGCGCGACCTCTGACCCCACGCGGTCCGAAGGGTCGGCCGATGCCTAAGGGCGCGCCGCGCGCCGGCCACCCGGATGGCCTCTGCCGAGTCTCCCTTCCATACACCGTTTACTACGCGCTCGATTCATTCATGATTCTGTGTTTCCGCGTCCCTCTCGCTAGGTGGCACCATATGTGTCATAGGCGATCCCAGGAAGATTGCGGCCAGAATACCCCAAACGGCAGAAAATGAGGTTTTTGGTGGATATCTCGGAAAGTATTTGGCATACAACGATGAAATTTCACAGTCTCGTGGTAAATGTGCATACACATAATCCGGGTTGATACTTATGCATTTAAACATTATATAGGACCAGATATGTCCGAAAAAGCAAAACCAACAAGACTTTTACTGGAGAGCCGTACCTACCTACAGACGATGCCCGATGCCCTATGCCTAGATAACTTTAAACTGAGTGAACATAATTTACTTAATCATTAAAATTGGCAACCTCATCAGTAGTATCAAATCAAATCAAATCAGTAGTAGTATCAGTAGTAATCAAAGTATCAGTAGGCATGATCCAAACATGTAGGCATTGCGGCGATGGGCGATACCTGTTAGGGTGCGGGCCATTTATTTTCATGTTCAATCTCCTCATATTGACGCAATCAACATTCAACGTCGCGTAAATATAGAATGTATATTCTTCGCAAGTAGCATATCAATACATTTATCACAAATCTAACGCATTCACATAAACACATTTTGACACGCACGCTCACGCACCAGAATCTGATGCGCCAACATTTTGATGGGTGCACATTCGGTACGAAAGTGCACGCTCGCAATTCAAGTCACATGACAATTTTTAGCTGCCGTCAACAGTAGGCGGCCATGCTGCATCAAAGCCTGTCGCATTCCATCTTTGTAGTTAGTCGCATGGTAGTAGGAACTACTAACTGAATGATTTAGCTTTTTAACCTGCTGTTGGGTAAACACTTGAATAGATCCTACTAGCTCAGTGTTATGATGCGGCCTCCGCCACCACCGTCAATCAAACTCAAACTACTGGATGCATTGGGATAGGGCACATGTATTGGGATCCAGTGATGTGGGGTAATGACAGAGAACCTTGGGTTGGTAACACCACAGTCACCGTAAAAACCTGTCAATCACACACATGAGAAAATGGGTTAAAAATAATGCTCTCTCAGCAATAAAGCGCACACATTCACACTCACATACACACTTCGCGTTAAATGTGACACATGAAAATGTGGCGAACGTTCAGTCGAAGCTTTGGTAAACGCATGATAAATAATCGAAACCAGTACGCTTGTACTTTGTAACAGAATTATAGCGCGAAAAAAAAATTATTAACACATGGTGAAGCCAAATCGCGACGAACGATACAACGGAAATGACTAGAGAAAAATAGAAACGTACTCTTTCCAGGTACCTCGAGTGACAACAGTGTGCTGTCTCCACAGTCACTCCTTCCATTCGCTCAATGCGCAACAAAGAAACAAACAAATAGCCGCCCAGCTCAATTAGCACTCATTCAATGGCTGGCGAACCTGCAAATGAGGAGAAACCAAAGTCAGATACAACTGTTACGCAGTTACATGGCTCCCCAAATTTGTGGATCACAAATTTCCTGCAATCCTCTCATCCACGAAATCAAAAACAATCTTCTGTAGCAGCATCACCTGGTGGTAACACAAGAAAAATACACCATCTGACGTGGTCGGCGGTTGCCACCGCGGGGCAACGGCACTCAGCAACGCGGACGATTCACACGGAAACGTACGAACGGATGTACCTTGCTTCCTCGGATACACCATTCATCACCGAGTCGAAACCGCAGACTTATTACGCCTCGATCGCGACCGGCGCGCACTCGTCCAAAAAACGTGACCTCCGGGATATCGAATCGCGCGCGCGCGTCACTGAGCGTCGGTAGCGTTCACTTTCACACCTGCGCGTCTCTCACGCGCATCGATCACTGGGCCTCGTGGCTCCCCGTCTGGGAATCTTCCCGGTCGTGCAGCAGGAGAATCAGGCGATTCACCGGCCGGTCGTAGTCACTGGAACCGATTCGCACGCACACTTTGCGGATCAGTCCATCGGCGCTCGGGTACACACACTTGATGCGGCCGAGCGGCCACCGTGAGCGCGGCTCGTCGTCGTCGACGACGGCCACGACGTCTCCGGGCTGCAGGTTACGGCGACGTTGCACCCACTTGTGGCGTTCCTGCAGGGTCGGCAGGAACTCACGCCTCCATCGTCGCCAGAACTGTTCCGCCAGAAACTGGACACGCCTCCAGCGCTGACGCACGTACAGGTCGGTCTGGGAGAAGCTACCGGGATAAGGCACGGCTACTCTACTCTTTAGTGTTAGTATCTGGTTCGGGCTCGGGGGGAGGAGAGTATCGTCCGGCGCTCCGCTGAAGTACGAGATCGGACGGCTGTTGACGATCGCTTCACACTCTGTCAGCAACGTCCGGAACAGCTCGTCGTCCAGTGTGTGGCCATGAGCCATGATCAGCGGAATCAGCGCCGACCTCACGCTCCTGATCATACGCTCCCAAGCCCCTCCCATGGAACTTGCCATCGGAACGTTGAACCGGAACTCGAACCAGTCGCAGTCCTTCTTGAGCAGCTCTCCTCTAATCTTGACATGATCCTCCACCTTCAGCGCCCCCTCCAGCATGTTCTTACCTCCCACGAAATTCGTCCCATTGTCACAGAACAGCTTGCGAATGGGTCCTCTCCGACAAGCAAACCGCCTGACAGCGTTCAGGAAAGAGTCGGCAGAGAGTGAGTTGACCGATTCTAGATGGATGGAGCGGGACGCCAGACAGCTGAAGAGTATTCCCCAGCGCTTGACCTCACTTCTTTTCTCTTTCACGTAGAAAGGCCCGAAACAGTCAACTGCACAGTGGCTGAAGGGTTCGGCTGGCTCCGTTCTCTCCTGTGGCAGGTCGGCCATCTTCTGTGTCAGCGGACTTCCGCGGAGTCTCTTGCACTTGACGCAGTCGAAGATGTAACTGCTCACTGCGGAACGGCCACCAATCACCCAATACCCAGAGGCGCGGAGCTCGTTCAGCGTCGAGCCGCGACCGCCATGACACGTCCTTTCGTGACACTCTCGCACGATGAGTTCCGTCACGTGGCTCTTCCTCGGAAGTATCACTGGATGGACCTCTTCCTTCGGCAGAGTGCTGTTCTTCATTCGTCCTCCGACGCAGATTAGCCCGTCAGCTCGGAGGAAGGGATCCAGCTTGTACAGCGGGCTACTGCGCTTCACAGTCCGACACCTTCTGTCACTCTTTCTTCTGCGTTTCTTGGTTCCCTCTCCCAGGTCTGCATGTTCTTCGTCGTCTCTGTTCTCTTGCTGCGTCTTCAGCACTGTGAGCTCTTCTTCGAAGGCGCTCTTCTGGACTGACTTCAAAATCACTTGCTCAGCTTGAAGCAGCTCATCCACTGTCATTCTCTCGACTGGGGTGTAGACTCTTGCGCCGGCCACACTTCTGTTCGAGCTTGCTTTACTTGCCAGGATGGCCGTGTAGCGTCGGCACGAAGCCACAGCTTTCTTCGCCCTGTGCCAGCTCGAGAAGTAGCTCAGGCGCTTCGCGAGTGTGTTGTCTTCATTTCCCTGTAGTCGGTCGCGTCCTCGCACGGGTCCTGCCGGTGATCGCTCATCGCGCTGATCGTCTGATTCGGCAACGTCTTGTCGATCTTCTTCTGTGTCGCCGCCCTGGTCTCTCTGTCGCCCGTCGGTTGGAAGCTTTTTCTCGTCTTCTGGTGGCTTCGAGATGGCGGCTTGGAAGGAAGCTCGCTTCACTTCAGGGTCGTCGCTCTGTACGTTGAACTCTTCTTCCATAGCTGGGAGTTCAATGCTCACTGTTAGTAGGGATGGGCCATGCCACCACAGACTGCTGGTCAGCAGCTCACTGGCGCTTGCTCCCCGGGACGCAAGATCCGCTGGGTTACTCTTCGAATCGATGTAGCGCCACTGTGACGGTTCCGAGAGCTGCCTGATGTCTTCGACCCTGTTGGCGACGAAGACGTGAAACCTCTTCGTCTCGTTCCGTATGTAGCCGAGCACGGCACGGCTGTCAGTTCAGTAGTACTCCTGGTAGTCGCCAATCGCCAGCTCGTTCCTGAGGAAAGAGCTCACCTTCGCCGACATCAGGGCACCCACCAGCTCCAGTCGCGGGATCGTCACGGCTCTGACAGGCGTGACTCTGGCCTTTGACATTATCAACATGCTGGTGATCTTGTCGTTCTTGTAGATGGTCCTGAGGTACGAGCACTGCCCACATCCATCGTAGCTCGCGTCCGAGAAGTGGTGGACCTCATATCTCTCAGCTCCACCGAGTTCCGTCGTGACGTAGCAGCGTGGGATCTTCAGTGTGGACAGGCGCTCTATGTCTTCTTTCCAGAGACGCCATTCTCGCTCCATGTCCTCCGGAATCAAGTCGTCCCAGCTGTACTTGTCCACGCACAACCGTTTCAGGATGTTCTTGGCCGCAAGAATGCACGGAGAGATGAGCCCGAGAGGATCGTAGATCGTACTCACGGATGACAATATGCCCCTTCTGGTTGCCGGCTTGCAGGGCAGGGTCACGTCGATGCAGAGCGTGTCGTCATCCATGTCCCAGTTCAGTCCCAGGACGCGTTCACGCGGGAGAGGCAGCTCCTCGTCCAGCGCAGCTTGACAGCTCTTGGACAAGCTGTACACAGGTAGTGTCTTCAAGACGTCCCTGTCGTTCGAGGTAAACTTGTGGAGTTTGAAACCCACCTTCAGGCAGAGACCAGCCGTGTCTTGTATCAGTTGCACCGCCTCTTCCGTAGTCTTCGTTGGAGCCACTCCATCGTCGATGTAGAAGTTCCGCTCCACAAGGGACGCGGCCTCGGGCGAGAACTCCTCTCCGTACGTGGCGCTCCGTACTCCTTGCACGCCTTTGCTTGCTCGGGCACAGCTATCTTGCTTGAGGCTTCTTGTTTTTCAAGCTTGCTCTTCGGTACGGGAAGCTCTGATGCACGCATCGCGTCTTCTTCTTCTTTGCTCCTCTGGATGGGAATCCCGGGTGCGCACATTCCATCCTCCTCTTCAAACTTCAGTAGAGCCCCTTGCTTCGCCTTCAGGATCTCACGCTCAGTATCCAGCTCCAGTTCCTGCATCTTCCACTGCAGCTCTTGTTTCTGACGCTCCATTTGCAGTCGCTTCTTTGCGGCAGCTGCTCTGGCTTCTAGCTCCGCTCTTCTCTGGGCGTCTTCAAGTCGCAGAAGGCTGATCTTCGATCGGACAGAACACCTTGATGATGCGACTGATGGCTGAACTTCTTGTGTCTTGTGAGTAGGCTCCAGTTTCTTTTCCATCTCGGCCTTCATTGTGTTGAGTTCAGGCATCACATCTTGGTGTCTTGACAGGTGTTGCTGCAAATCAACTTCAGAGAGAAGACCTTGCAGCTCACTGGAAGTCTGGACCAGATCGATGTATGCTCTCTTCCACTGGATGTATGCTTCTTTGAGCGTCTCATTCTCCTCTTCACCTGCCGCTTCCAGCCTCTTGATGATATCGACACCCTTCTTCAACTCCTTCAGATCCTTCTGGTACTTCTTTTGCTTGATGTCGATCTGGAACTGTCTCCCTTCTTCAGTCAGCGTTACTTGTCTTCCACGTTGTGAGGTGAGACCTGGAAGTCCACGCGCTTCACTGATGCTGTCTCCCTCCATGTTCGGTTCCTTGTTGGTTGACTCGTTAATGGGGGACAGCTACAGCTCTAACTACTGAGGTAATTGAGGAAAAAATAATAATGAGAAGCATAATTCTGACTCTGCGGGTCATGGTTAGTTTGTTAGTAGTATGGTCACTGACGGAAGGAAGAGTTTTTACTGATGCGGCCTCCGCCACCACCGTCAATCAAACTCAAACTACTGGATGCATTGGGATAGGGCACATGTATTGGGATCCAGTAATGTGGGGTAATGACAGAGAACCTTGGGTTGGTAACACCACAGTCACCGTAAAAACCTGTCAATCACACACATGAGAAAATGGGTTAAAAATAATGCTCTCTCAGCAATAAAGCGCACACATTCACACTCACATACACACTTCGCGTTAAATGTGACACATGAAAATGTGGCGAACGTTCAGTCGAAGCTTTGGTAAACGCATGATAAATAATCGAAACCAGTACGCTTGTACTTTGTAACAGAATTATAGCGCGAAAAAATTATTAACACATGGTGAAGCCAAATCGCGACGAACGATACAACGGAAATGACTAGAGAAAAATAGAAACGTACTCTTTCCAGGTACCTCGAGTGACAACAGTGTGCTGTCTCCACAGTCACTCCTTCCAGTCGCTCAATGCGCAACAAAGAAACAAACAAATAGCCGCCCAGCTCAATTAGCACTCATTCAATGGCTGGCGAACCTGCAAATGAGGAGAAACCAAAGTCAGATACAACTGTTACGCAGTTACAAGTTAATTCACAAACATGAAACAATGGAATATGAAAAAAACGGGCTGATCATGGACAACCGGAACACCGACAGGAACATTTTCAGCAAGGTCGCAACATCGTAGCGAAGTTAATCCAGAGCACCACTTATCCTCCTATACAGGTTCGTGACTTTAGCACACTTCAGAAGTACCTAGCAGTCGCAACTGCACCCCTCTTTGGAGGCCCAGGAAATCCAGTAAGCAGGACAAACATAAGAACGATATGATTTTGTGACGGCCGGCTTGATCTAAATTAATGAACTCCACTTCTTCGTCTTGATCAGCGATTTTTCCTCGGCATGCTATCTTACTTTGAATGAACTCGATGTTTACGAATTTCGCGCCGATTGAAAAGTTTGTCGGAATTACGGAGGAAGTATTTTGTCTAGGGCGATTATACATCCAGCTGGCGAATCTCGGTGTTGACGATGTCCTTTGGTCCATAAAACGTTGATGCAGGCAGGTGCCGCACTCATCTGGAAAAAAATGCCACAAAAATTGCCTTCATGGTCATTCACCATAAGGTTCATATTCAAAATCCCCTAGTCTTAGGCAATAAGGTACTATGAAGAATTCTGGTCCCCACCATGTACCTAAAACTTTGCACTGATGCGTTGAACCTACTAGAGACGGCAGACGCACAATTTTAAAGAAACAGGAAAGACATACTCATTGGAAAGCTGATGTCAGACAAAGGTAGTTATGAAAGGATCACTGCAAACAAGGTATGAACATGTTGCGAAAGGGTTCCGAAAAAGTTGCAAAAGTGTTGTTTCAAAAGATGTATGAAAATGTTGCGAAAGGGTTCCAAGGAATTTACAAAAGGGTTGTTTTAAATGAGTTATATTTAAGTTGCAAAATGGTTAGAAAGAATTTGCAAAAGAGTTCCCTCAAAAGAGTTATGAAAAGGTTGGGAAAGGGTTACAATGAGTTTATGAAGGGGTTTTTCAAATGAGGTAGGTATGTGAAAAGGTTGCAAAATGGTTACAAAGAATTTTTGAAAGGGTTATTTCAATTGAGTTGTGGAGAGGTTGCAAATGGGTTACAAATAATTTACAAAAGAGTTGGTCTGAGTGAGTTATGAAATGGTTGCAAAAGGGTTACAACGTGTTGGGTCGCGGCCGGCCGGCCGCGGACCATTTTCAGAAGTGGCGGGCAGACCGTGCGTCGAGTACTTGCTTTCTCGCGGGGCGGTACTGGGGTTCACTAGCTATTTTCATTTGCCATGAACTTGAAATTATACACTGTAATTAACGATCTTTTGTCAATTATTACAAGTTCTTCAAATTTATTCTTTGAAAGCAAATGATTTCATTTCACTCAAGAATTGTCTTGTCCACCACTACAACCGCCACCCAGCCGCCATCCATTGGAAGGGATAGGCTCTGCGGCACAAAGTGTCGTTTTAAACTGGACTGGGAACCAATGTGTGATGACATTTCGAGCTAAATTTATGCTCATTGTGTACCTAGAAGCACTGGGAACAACGCTCTGACTGTACATTTTTAGATTTTTGCCTCTAAATGAAAATATTTACAATCAAGTACTTTGCGAGCGCAGTTTAGAAGCTCCCGTAATGTTAAAGTCCTATCTCCTACAAGTATGTAAATACTGCTCTAGGGAACCAACAGTTCGCATCGTACTAGCTTTAAATTATATCCATATTGTTCCCAGTACTTTGCTGAACACTGTGGTGAGTGTACATTTTTCGTTTTTTGCTTTACAAGCGTAAAATTCGTCTGGTTTTATACCACTTCATTCGCCTCCATAGCCCGGTAACGGCGCCGCGCGGCGCGGCCGGCCGGCGCCCGCTGTAGTTCCAAACACTGCCCGATAGATGGCAGGCGCAGAAGTGGTCCCAGCCGTCCCGGTACGAATAATTTATGAAAGGGTTGCTTTGAATAAATTATGAAAAGGCTGCGAAAGGGTTAGATTGAGTTTACGAAAGGGTTGTTTTGGATGAATTATGAAAATACTGCACAAGGGTTACAAATAATTCATGAAAGGATTGCTTTAATAAATTATGAAAAGGCTGCGAAAGGGTTACACTGAGTTTACGAAAGGGTTGTTTCGAACGAGTTATAAAATGATTGCGAAAGGGTTACAAAGAAATTACAGAAGGGTTGTTTTGGATGAACTATGAAAATACTGCACAAGGGTTACAAATAATTCATGAAAGGATTGCTTTTAATAAATTATGAAAAGGCTGCGAAAGGGTTACACTGAGTTTACGAAAGGGTTGTTTCGAAAGAGTTATAAAATGGCTGCGAAAGGGTTACAAAGAAATTAAAGAAGGGTTGTTTTGGATGAACTATGAAAATATTGCACAAAGGTTACAAATAATTCATGAAAGGATTGCTTTTAG